GAATAGACTTCATATACTACAGAAAAAGGCCCTTCGAATTATATGTAATGACCACTATTTACATCCTTCTGTGTCGCTTTTTGTTAAAACTAAAACATTAAACGTATTTGATCTATATGAAAAAAATGTAGCAAGTCTAATGTTTCTTTACAATAAAGGCAAGTTACCTAGATCATTTGACCTGTTCTTCCGTACCTTTGATTCATAATCATAGTCATGATACACGAAATAAACATGACTTTGTTATTGATTTCAAAAATACTAAAGTTGGCCGACAAAGCTTTTCGTATACAGGGACAAATGTGTGGAATAACCTACAAAGTGATCTCAGGACATGTGCAAACGTTTCCTTATTCAAAAGAAATCTTGATATAACTTTTTTGAAAGTTACAATGTTAAAAAATATAAATGTCAAAAAAGGAAATTGCTGTTTTGTTTGTAAAGAAACCTAAGTCTCTATAGACTGATTAAGATATCTATATTCGTTACAACTGCTTAAATATATCCCGAATTTTCCCACTTTAATGTTTTATTAGTATAAATAATATTTTGTCTCTAAATGATTCGATTTGATTGATCCCTCTTATTTTGTTAGTGCGTGTACTTTAATGTATAAAAGTATGTGTATTTTAATGTATAAATATTTAAAAAAAAATTAATCAGCAGTTTTGATTTTGACTGAATTAGTTGATAATGAAATACTTGAAAAGAATTGTAATAATTATGTATTCATCTAAAAATATATATATAATCAAACAGGCCTCTGTTGTATAAAAATCTGTATTTGCGAATGTTTTACTATTACATTTTTAATTATCTAATTTATCATTGTATATTTACAGTACCATAACATGACATTAATTTCATGTATTAATATTATTACTGTTTATTTTATTTATTTATTTACTAAATTACCTATTGAATGTTTGATTAGCTAATCAATTGCTTAATTGATTATTGATTGATTACTGTATTTATTTTTTAAAATTTATTTTTATCTAAAGGGCACCACAGTTTAAAGCTGTATTTTGCTTGTTTGTGGTTGTCCTATTCCATCTCATTTCATTTGATGCATTTGAATTTGTACTGTTTTATGTTAATTAATTTGGACTAAATTACTTTTGAATTGAATTGAATTGAATTATAATTTGTATTTTTAACGTAGGCCTATTAATAGGTCCCTGCATTCAACAATTATGTGGGTATTCACTCTACTGTTATTTACTATCAACTATTGGCCCGGCGTCACTAATTTTGATCAAGACGGCACGTACGAAATGTTTCTGGACAAAACGGCAATAAACCAAAACGGCAATAAGTCAAAACGACAGTGACAAAAACGGCAAAAAACCAAAACGGCAACACTTTTTGAACAGAACGGCAACAGACCAAAACGGCAATAAGTGAAAACGGCAAGACCAAAACGATGCTAAACATTTTATTTCATAAAAGTAAAAACGCAACAAAAAAATTAATTAATTATAAACATGAAAGTGTACACGAACATAATGGTAAAAGTGAGGCTAAATAGCAGCAGCAGCAATAATATAATTAACAATAATAATAATAATAATAATAATAATAATAATAATAAATGAGTAATTATAATACATAATAATAATTATTATTTAATAATACAAATTCAATATTTAAAAAATTGGGGGAGGGGAAACAATATAAAAGCAGTAAAACATTTAAACAAATAAAACTTTCAAATACAGACAAAATGAGGCTAAACAATTTATGTCATAAAAGTTTTTTAAAAAATGAGAAATAATAATAATAATAATAATAATAATGATAATAATAATAATAACAATAATAATAATAATAATAATAATAATAATAATAATAATAATAATAATAATAATAATAATAATAATAATAATAATAATAATATTAAACATTAAAAGTGGAAAAAAGTGCCCATGGCAATATTCGATTTGCCTATCGGGACAATTTCAAAACGATTTATAAAATTATAAATCCGGCCCGCGTCCGCTGACGCTTGCTAGCTTTGGCATTGATTTCGCTCCATTGCCATTTTGGTTTATGCCGTTTTGGTACTTGTCATTGCCGTTTTGGTCTGTTGCCGTTTTGGTACTGTACTTGTCATTGCCGTTTTTGTTCATTGCGGTTTTGGTTATTGCCGTTTTGGTCATTGCCGTTTTGGTTTATTGTCGTTTTGACCGGCTACCGTACGAAATTATCTTCAATCACTTGCTGATTTCACGACGTGCACATGACAATCGGGACGCTACGTACCTCTCCCATTGTGTTGACGTTGGGAACGTTTTACTTTCCTATCATGAACCATAATACTTTCTTCCTATTTACTATTTGTATATGAATGAAATACTAATTATAGTTCCGTGCGTTGTAGAAATCTGAGAATATTCATCGTAACTGTTATGTTTTTAAAAGAAAAATCGTACCGATGTCATTGTTTTGGATCAAGACGGCACGTCCGGTGAATAATCACAATAGTTTCTACACTAATTTAAGTGTATGGGTAGACTTGCAATGTCTTTGTTTAATTATTAAATTTATATCACCATAACTTATAAAAATGTGTAAAATGTAAGCATGAATCTTATTCACATGGCCAGATGAAAGAAAATCGATGTGCCACCAAATCGTAACCAGCCTTCACCATGCCCTCACGATGTGATATGGTCGTGCAAAATTTCCAAAATGTAGAATTTCATTTTGAAGAAAGAGGATTTGAAAATTAATTAGATGGTTACATTGCATACTTTCTGTTTCTTGTTTTATTCAAAATGTTTTGGTTTTGGTAGCTTATTCGGACATTAGAAAAAATAGCGTACATGAAGTCATATTATAGTAGCTCGATACCTATCAAATAAGTAATAAAATTTCGCCATAATCGTCAAATATCCGTGGCTTCTAGGATGTGTAGTCCCTGGACCCCACTGGGGCCGTGGCCTCCTGGCCCCAGCCAAGCCAGGCTGGATTCGCTCCACTAGCCCCCCACTCCCGTCGGGGCCTTTAGCCCCTTCGTCGGGCAGATCCTGACTCCATCACTGATTGAATCTGCTGTACTGCAAATCTCAAATCAATTAAGAGAACCCCAAAGTTGAAGTATTATCGTTGTGCCTAAGACAAACCAACTTTTTATGGTAATTGATCATTCATATTTGCATATTTATTTTCTTGTTTTTATTGGCTTTCCCTTTGCCCTTGTTTTGTTCCGATTATTTTTCTTGGATCTTTTCCAAACTTTGTCCAAACATACGGTAGATGATATATGAAAGATGTGCCTCCTAAAATTGACAATCTAGTGCAGGGGTGGACATTCAAAGGGCCGCACCTAAACTTTGATGTTTCAGTGCACTTTCTAAAACCTTCATACACGGTATGACCACTTTACGCTCAGTTTTAATATTTGTTTTTACAGATGATAGGTGCCGGACAGCAAAAAAGCGAGGTTTTTTCTAGCCGAAGATGGTTGGCGGGCCGCCCTCACACAGGGTTTGTTGTTCATCATTGGGCCACAAAAAACCACTGTTGGGCCGCATGCGGCCCGCGAGCCACACTTTTCCTACTTCATGTGATCTAGAGTAAGATGTGGATGAATACAAACACTCTACACAAGATATTTCAAAAACGAATAAACTGATATGACTGAAACTGGTGGGCTTGGTTACGATCCAGGGTATAAACTTAAATTTCTAACGTCCCAGATTTAAATATCTCAAAAAAACTTATCAACGGATGTAAATGAAACTTTCCATAATAGTTTGCCATGGTTCAACGAAGAAATTATTACATTTTGGTCAGATTACTAGGGTAGAGATCAAAACATGCATTTTTAGTACTTTATCGACAACACTTTAGAAAAGGTAAATAGATGCATATTCAGGCATTTCAGACCATAATCAAGTCTCTCAATTTGGAAAGATGTTGATATTTCAAGTCAATTTTAAAGTCAAGGGTCAAAATTATCATCTTTGTTCACTCTAAGACAAAAATACATTATGGAAACATGTGCGGTATGTTCTGATATAGGAATATGCCAGACATCTAAGTTCAAAGGTCAGAAATGTCATTTCCAGTCACTTTTAGACAATATGTTGCATTGGAGCAAGTAGGCCAGTGTTCCAAAGAATATGAGACCAATCTCAGGTTATGGAGATATGGATATGCTACATACCTACTGTAGGGTCAAAGGTCTTTGAGGTCATTTATGGTCACTTCTGAACAAAATGTTGCATTAATTTTTGCAAACGGCACGCATGTTTTGCATAAATTGAGGCCAAACTTAGGTCCCTATGACTAAAGTTTTACAGAAATGGATATGCTTAGTATACATGGTCAAAGGCTATTTTTGGGGGTTTTTTTCGGACAAAATTTTGCATTAGAGCAAATATACACATGTATGTTCCGAAAAATTTGAGACCAAAAGTAAGTCTCTACGACTTTCCATTGCCAAGATAAATTAATTTATTTATTGAAGTAGGCGGCCATTTTGAAGTCAAAGGAGCGGCCGTAGTAGGTGTCAGAAACTTGGCACACAGCTAATTTTTTAAATCTACACACATCATTATGTTGTGCATATCAATGTTATGTACTTATTTTCATGCTTTGGTAATAAAATGCGCAACTGGGTCCCTTAGCTCTACTCTAAGCAATTAATTAGGGTCTTTCAATATTTTAAGGATATTGATATACGTCTGAAAATGACTTATCTTAGAATGAATTTTTGAATTTGCGGCTAACAGGCTATGACACTTGAGGTAAAAATGGAAATGTTTACATTTGTAGGCGAAATGTTTTTACATTTGTGGTTATTTTTCATGTGTTTGACATTTGCTGCTATCGTGACATTTGTGGGTATAATGTTTTGACATTTGAGGTTAATTTTACATTTGTGGTGGATTTTTAGGTGTGTGGGCTTTACAAACCCCACCTCCTTGTTTTCGAATTTGTAAAAACAAATTCTGTCTTTTAAAAATGTCTTAGATTAGTGAATAGCCTACCTTAAATCATATCTGAAGCAGTACAGGATAGATCCAATTATTACAATGGTAACTCCAGCTGACACAGACGAAATGGTAATCCTTAAGATCTTAAATAATTTGCTACACTGTATAGTATCAGGATCAAAATCAAGCAGTTTTATGTACACCTTTCTTTGTCCATATGTACATTTTGTATCCCCAATGTCTTCAAGTGTGACGTTCGTCTTGTCTATCCAATTTCTAAACCAGACTAAATTACAATCACAAGAGAATTTGTTGTATGATACATATAGTATCTGCAATTGGTTCAGGTTTTGAAACCCAACATTCTCCTTAATGGCAGTGATGGAATTGTCATGGAGAGATATTGCCTGCATACGGTTGGAATGGACAAATGCTTGATTCGGGAGTTTACCTATTTTATTATGGTGCATATATAGAAACATAAGTGCAGACATATTTTGGAAAAGGGTTGTTGGGAATGACACAATTTCATTATCAGAAAGATCAACTTTTTTCAAATATTTACAATGCTTAAATACATCACTCTCTAATGTGGTAATTCCGCAGAAGTCAAGATGCAATCGTTCCAGCGAAACAAGGTCTACGAACCATTCTGCTTGAAGCTTACTGAGGTAATTGTTATTACTCATCGAGAGATCGCTTAGCTTTCTCAATCCACTGAATGCGTCGGATTCAATACTTGAGTAATATAGCTTGTTATGGGAAAGCCTCAAATATTCTAGGGCGTGTAATGTCTTAAAGGAATTGTTCTTTAGTGATTTGATAATATTGTTTTGCAAGAAATAAAAAGCAACATCAGTTGGTACCGTGTTCTTTAAAGGAATATTTGCTAATTGCCGATTTGAACAATCTACATCATGGCGGTACTTTAAGATTGGTGTTCCTCTGTTTGCACAATATGTGCAGTTACATCTTTCTGGACACAGTAGATCATCGGGAGGTTGTGTTCCATTAATCGATAGAGGGTCGTAGTTATAACAAGTGAGTGGCAAAGTACAAGTAAATGATGCAAACAGAGCAAAACAAATCAGGAACGGATAACATTCCATCTTCATCAATGTAGATAATAAACCGTCTGTCATATTTATTCATCTTAGGCCTACTGTGAATTATAAAGTGATTGCTGTCTACAAGCGGATAAGGTGTGTAAGGTAGGGCCTATAACTTCCTGTGCACACGAAATAGGTAGGATTCTTTGTCTAAATAAAACTTTCTAGGTAGGCCTTCTGTAAGAATAAGCTAAGAAATAGTTGAGTAATAGCAAAGACAGTGCTCCAAAAAATACGAAGAAATGCAGCTCATCAGTATATAAAGCTAGGAATATTTAAACAAATACCTTTTTGAAGGCTTAACAATGATAGCAGCTCCCGACATTGTATGTTACTTGCTCTAATTTCCTGGTCGCAGAGGATTATTAATCTCATGACTGAGGCCTGGGTTAACCAACGATATAGTTTTGTCAAATCATTTCCTATACATACTCATAGAGATTACACGTGATTCCTCAATTTAATGAAATGCTGAATTCTATGCTGAAAAGGTCACACTTAATACAGATCTACGATTATTTTCATTTTGAAAATAGAATATGATTTTATTAACGGGTTATCCGTATTAGAATTAGAGACCACCGGCAAATATCAATAATAATAATAATAATAATAATAATAATAATAATAATAATAATAATAACAAGAGCACTCAGTAGAGTGCATATCTCCGCCCACGCCAATGTCTTTTTATAAAATAAATCCTAATATATGCATTAACACTATTCATAAATCAGTTCCGAAAAAAAGTGAAGTACATATAAAACGCTGTATGCATTTACTGTAATTTCACTAATATTCATCATAGCTATTGTATCTGGCTACGGTAATACGGTAAACATAATCTTTAAATGGACCTCATATCCATACCCTACTTCGGATTTTTAAAATATCTTCTCTAGGAACGTTTTGCTCTGAAATCCCTTTAACTGGTTCTCACACACCCTACTCCGGACCGTAACCAAAAGTTAGTCATTTCTTCATTGGATTATACCTAATACTCCCTGTTATTTTCAATTAGGCCTATGTTTGTGCAGCTGTCTTTGAGATATGTCGCACACACACAATAACGAAAAAAACAAAAACAAAAACACGAAAACACACACACAAACTTACAAGACTGAAAACATCTCCTGGTGGAGATAATGATGATGACGACGACGAAGACGACAACAACAACAGCAACAACAACAACAACAACAAAAACAATAATAATAATAATTATTATTATTATTATTATTATAATTATAATTATAATTATAATAAATAATAATAATAATAATAATAATAATAATAATAATAATAATAATAATAATAATAATAATAATAATAATAATAATATAGTACTAAATAGAGAGCATATCTCCCCCACCGCCAATCTCATTCTATAAAAAAAACCCCTCAAAAATATGTTCCTACTGAATGAAGTCGAGTCTTTTTGTTGCAGGTACGTCTCTCAATAAAATAAAAACTAAAGGAATGTGGATCTGATCCAATAAACGATTTAGAATTCAATGGGTTCAAGAACCTATACAGTTCTTATGTATTGTATGTTGGCTATGACAAAGGAAAGTGTTATAAAAAAGCTGGGTCGAAAAAGTTGTGAATTTAGAAAATATACTAAAATGTTGGGGGAAAAAATGAATTTAAAGTATTTTTGGTAAATGTAGTTAAAACGCAACACTATCAAAATTAACATACAACGCCAGCATAATTGATGTACCTAAGAACGTCATCAAAGATGTGAACATAAGTATTTTAAGTTCATTAGGATATAGAAAACGAGAAAATTAAAAGGATGTACAATGTCTCATGGCATTATGAATGGTATTAAAATGACAAATTGTAACCTTATGATTAAACCCTTGAAGTTAAGCTGGGTCAAAAGGTTACTACAAGTCCAGACCGCATTACTCCCCCCTCCCCATACGTTTAAGGCAGAAATAATAGAGGGCGCTATTTTAGGTCAGTTTGGTGAACTGGTAACATGAATATGCATGCCTGACCACCCTCGCGAAACATAGGTGAAAATTAATGGTTGTAATTGTGTAATAATATCCCAATGGCAAGATACAGTATGTACAGCATGGTCTTTGAAAGTATAAAAAACACAGTAATATTGATCGGGCTATTTTAGTACAGATAGTTATAGGCCTAGATATACATGTGTTGTTTGTAGCAATTGTATGCCCTGATGCTGAAGGATAAACGTTTAGAAATTCTCGGAGACAAATTTCGGACACAGTTGTTAACTTACAATTTGACAATTAAACATTTTTATGAGAAAAAAAATTACTGTCAATTTGCAGACAGTGAGTTTGCTGTATTATTTTACATGACTCATTGGCTGACAAAATTTAATGATTTTTTTGTAGAACCGTCTTTAAATCTCATATTTTTAACTTCCATCTGTCTTGATCGTTTTAAATGAGCTATTTATTTTTTTAATTGGGTAGACAGCCTTTAATAAACAGCACTTTCATATAGTCAGTGTATAGAATAGGCCTAATTTGTTTATAATATAGGCCTATATGCTTGCTATATAAGTCCAGATCTATTACTTTTATTCATATTGTATATGAACGAAATGTTTGTGAAAAATCAACATTAAAACAATACATAGAATTGTACGGGTCCGACGAATTACCCAAATGATAGGGAATTACCCAAATGATACGCAATTACCCAAATGATATAGAATTACCCAAATGATAGGGAATTACCCAAATGATACGCAATTACCCAAATGATATAGAATTACCCAAATGATAGGGAATTACCCAAATGATATGGAATTACCCAAATGAACAATAAAATGATATGCAATTACCCAAATGTGTATAATTGACGTTGAAACTTTTGTATTTTTAACATGCAGTATTTGTCAAAATTATTCGTGATGGTTTTTATAACTCATTTAATCATTTAATAATAATAATATTAATAATAATAATAATTATTATTATTATTATTATTATTATCAATAATTATTTTAGTACTTTTTGAAATAGGCTTATGTATTTATGCGATTTATTCTCTGTTAATAATTGCAAATGATGTTTTTGTTTAATAATGTAATACGTGTTACTATTATCATTCATTCGTTTCATCTGTTCTAATGTCATTTTGGTTATTTTCGTACAAGTTATTTTTTTTATTATGTGGATGCAGGGCCTGAATCCTTTCTTGTTTTTAACATACAGTATTTATTGGTCAAAATTATTCGTAATTGTTTAATAATTTGATAGAATTAATAATAATATAATACAATACTTTCCATAGACTTTATATATTAATATGATGTATTTTTCTAATGATGTTTTTTATTAATGCGATATCGTGCTATTTTATCATTTATTTGTTTCATCTGATAACTGTTTTTCATAATTAGTCTTGACAATTAAATTTGGATCGATATTTTTTCTAGATAAAATTTTGTACGTTTTTCTAAATGACTTTTTTTAATGCTTTAAACAGAATGTTGGTATTCTTTTATCTTACTTTTTTTAAGGAGTTAATAATGCACGGGTTTTTTCATTATTGATAATTCATATCCTAACGAAAATGGGCTAACCCATATTTACGTTCTAGAAATTGATACTGATTTGTAGTGTACTGGTTAATTCATACTGTGAGTATAATTATTAGTAGGCCTAAATCATTTAGGATTTATAGGATTATAGCATTTATAGAATTATAGGATTTATTTTATATTTATTTCTTTATTTCCAGTTTTCATGCATTAATTTATTCTTTTTTATTTATTCTTTTTTATTCTTTTTAATCATCTACTGCAAACTTGGTTACTCGATATTAAGGCGAGCATGCTTAAGGCATTTATATCTTTCATTTGCCCATTTTGCTTAACCTTTATGAGTCAATTGGCTCTCTGATAGAGTCTAGTGTATCTGGCGATTATTTCATTTTAATGTTTCATTTCAAAATGAAATCAACACTGAAAAAAGTAAATTAAATAGAATAACATTGTAATATAAACATATTTTTAAATAAAAAGTTTTAAAATTAAGTTAATGCAGAAAATGAAAAAGGGATAAGCAAAATAGGAAAATGAAATATAAAAATGCATTGAGCCTGCTCGCCTTAAAATCGAGTAACCAATTTTGTAGTAGAATAAAAGAAGAATAAATAAAAAAAGAATAAATTAATGCATGAAAAATAAAGAAATAAATATAAAATACATCCAAAGTATACAAATGAATAAATTGCTGCTACATTTTCAATATATACATCTAACATCTAACACCACAATGATGTAGATTCAATTGTTTTTCAATAATGAAAAAAACAACAATCAAGATCGTAATTTACGCAATATAATTTTAGATTCTTATAGGCCTACCGTATGTTATTTTAATTTTGTATGGTTTTATTATTACCGCCAATTATTTATTGGCGTGGCCATTGAACCAGCTTAATGCTAAGACTTATTTAACAACAGTAAACAGTAACAGGAAATAAAACACAGTAACAGGAAATAAAACATAGCATTAAGCTGGTTCAATGGCACCGCCAACAAACTATCGCTACATAATCATTTCCCCGACATTTATCATGGTTTAATTGTAATTAATTCGCCAAAACGCCTTCATTTTTGCACAGACTGTTGTTACACGTTGCAGGCACCACGAAACGGATGTATATTTATCGCCAACAACTAGACCCATCGCAGACGTAATATTAGCCGTAAAGCTTACCATTCTAGGCTGTGATTGGTTGATATACACAATATGGAATATAGAGGCGATTTGCAATCTAACCAATGACGAACACGCTTTCATCGAAAACCCATTCTAATGGTAAGTGATATGATATAAAAACATACAATTTCACCTATTTCCCGACAGTGTTTTCGCAAAAACTCTTCATACTTTAATTTTTTCCCAAGCCTCCCCTTTCTCTCAGTCAGAGAGTGGACTAAAATACAGTGGCGTAGCCAGAATATATCTGTGAGGGAGGGGGAAGTGTGGGTCCGTGATATTATGTGGGGGTACAAGTGTTCTGATCGAAGCGAGGAACCAAATGCTGAGGGCCAGGGGCCGCGAGGGCCCCCGGTCAGGGCCCCTGGAAGAACTTTACAATATAAATAAATCTTAAGTGACCTCAGCCCGTTTGCTCTCAAATACAATTTTTTATATAAAAAGAACCAGGCATAAAAAGAACCAGGCCGATACAAACCAGTAAAAAATAGTATCATCATCAGATGATGAAGTTCCACTGTTTTTCTTTATTCTCAAAGTGTGTTATGATTTATAGTGTGATAAATTCGCACGTGATAAAAATTATTGAAACTTTGTTTCAATCACATAAAATTATCAAATATTA